GTCGAACCGTTTTTCAAAATCTTCTTCAAAATACCGCCGTTTTTACCCGAACCGGAACGGTATATCCGCTTCCCATTATCAGCAAGGAACCGCCACGTCTCCTCAGCGGTATAAATCGGGCGGTTGTTATCTTTGGTGCCGAAAAGCATGGCGGTGAAGATACCACCAACGCCAGAACCGGCGGCGACGTCGAAAAACTCGGCGATTCGAGCATTTGGATTACCCGACTTGGATTTCAACGCGTGTTCGAGATAAGCCAAAGCTTTCCCACAAAGAATCCCTCTCATGCCACCGCTATCGATACTCAAAATACAGATTTTACCTCTCTGGTTCTTGATAGCTGACTGGGAATTCTCATCACCCTGCTGAACTAACGGCTCAACCTTCTGATCAGAAGCTGGAGAGATCGGCTTTGGAATCCATAGCTTCTGATGATCATCGTACCCGAATAAAAATTTACTTTCCAGAATCGAAAAGATTTCGTAACTCAGCTTATCTGTGTCGATGCTCGGTTCATGCATCTCTGAGGAAGTATTCGATGACATTATTACCTGCTGTCGCACGTTACACAAAAACCAAGAACCCAAAAATAAAAGAAGAAAAATCTCTTCTCTTTAGGAAGAGAAAATTCTTTGCATACTCCAAACTGGAATTCCTTTCTGTTCTTTTCCTTTGTTTACTTCCGCTTTTTCAGAGTATCTGACGCAGACTCTCCTGCTAAAGGAGTTGAGTTAATGAAAGCAGCAGTTATAATTTCCTGCTACCTTGCCATTCACGCCCGCCCAGAAGAAAAGTTTTTCTGCAAATGGTAAAATGATGAGTTTAGCTTTAATACAATAATAATTATAAGAATAGTATATAAGAATTTCCAACGTAAGTATCACCTTATTTGACAGGAATGCTCAACCAACATTTATCAGCTTCTAAAATGGAAAATCACTCCCCATTTCGCAATCGTTATCATCATCCAAAAAAAAACAAACAAAACCGAAGATCCCCAAGCCTAATTCTTCCAATCCACGCCTTTCGCCCGTTTAATTTTTTTACTTTTCTTTTATCGAATCTTCGGCTGATAGCTCTATCTATATATTAATAATTCCTTTTGTTTTCTATTTGGTTAACTAACCATCAAAGAAAACAAAAACAAGGCCAAAACCCCAAAAAAAGACAAAGAAAAGAACCCAGAAGAAAGAAAGTAAGAGAGGCAAAGGAAAGAACACCCAGCAGCAGTTTGCGTTCAGAGGATGTCTGTTTATTTTAGCTTTTTAAAACCAAAAAAAAAACCATTTTCTTCTTTTTTAATTTGTTTTATATATAACCGCACTTACCGTTTTCAAATCACCAAATAGGTAACCAACGGTTCTAATTGTTTGTTGGTTTTTCATCAAACGGTGGAGTTTGTCTCATTAACTATTGGTCCGTGATCAACGGTCAACATTAGTAAAAAGAAAATCTCTCTAACTTTTTAGTATTTTTTATGTTATTTTTAATAATCTCCCGCTCTTGTCGTTAACCGCGTGGGGCCGGGGCGTCACCACCGTCGGCAAAAAAATGGAGGAGCACCACTAATTGTGGGCAAATATATAAATTTTTTTGGACAAATTTACCCTTTGGGTAAAAAGTGGGTTCCATTTTGGATAAAAATGTGAAGTCTGCTTTTTGGAAGGCTGTGGTAAAGGAGGAAATTTTTAGTTTTTGCCGTTTAACTGTTCGGTAAAAGCCGGGGGGTTATTAGTTAAAACTAGTGGATAAGATGACTGGTGGGAGACAAGGTGGTCAATGAGTTGACTAGTAAAAGTTGTAAAGAAATTTTTTTTACTATTTACCGATTTGACCGTCTAATTCTATTCTAGTGTTGGTTAAATATACCAAACTAATATTTATCTTACATTAATTTTAATTACTTAAATTAAATTACTTAAATTAAACTCACACTTTAAAGTTTTATCTATAAATGACTTGCCAAATGTGAAGCATGCACAAATTCATGAAGAATCCAAAAGGTTAATAAGTCATTAAAGTATATTTATGATAATTAATTAATTATTAATAGACTTATGAGAATCATTTAATTGTATTTGTGAAATTTAAAAAATTTTCATTATCAATATATAGAAAATAAACAAGAACTTATACAAGAAACATCGGGTCAAGTTCGTGATGTTCCTTGTTAAAAATAATTGAATAAAATTTAATTTTAAAAGTCCAAACCTAAAGATTGATATAGATTAGGAATATGTAAAACAATTATTCAAAATTTTATCTATACTCGAAATAGGATAAATATTTATTTAATGGTGAAAAATTTTCCATAACTTTTAGTAAAAATATATATTTGAAAATATATCAATAATTTTTTATTTTTTTTATTTTGTATACTTAATCTATGTAATAAAGTATTTTAACCTGTTATTTCTAATTTTCAATTGTAATTTCTATTTAATAATTTTTTAATAAAAAATCTCACAAACTTAACCTAAAAAAATTTTATCTTAAAATTGTCCATAAAAATAATTATTTTTTAATATTACTTTCCCTTTTCTGCAAAGTTTATTATCTGCAACCCTTTTGTATAGAATCAATAAAGGTGAATAAAACTTTAAGAAAAGGGTATTGTTACATGTTTGAAGCCATTTCAGTACTTTTTTAATTTTTGGTTTTAATATTCACACCTTCAAAAAGAATTGAAAAAAAAAAACACTATATTGCACCCTCACTATGCAATAGCTTTTATTTTATTTTATATAATTATTATAAGTATAATTTTTAGAAATAGTAAAAATAAAAAATTGGGTTTTTCTTCTTTTACTTTTTATTTTTATTTTTATAAAATTAATTTAATGCAATTCAAACGAGGGATAATTGGGGCTACGAAGTAATTTTAAGTGAAAGCCAAAACAAAATTTAGTCAGACGTGTAACAGTGAATAACTTTTTTGGTTCTTTGATTTGAGAAGGACTGTTCATGACGTGAAGTCCTCTTCAATGTTCTAATTTATTTATTTTATTTAAAAAAATTATTTGACATTTTCAAGTATTCCTTTCAATTAATAAAATTTGTTTTTTTTCGTTTTTCTTTTTTTTTTAAGTATAGTAAAAGTTGATTTTTCGATTAAAGTCAAAGAAGTGATCAAAGCATATTATACAAAAGAGAACTCGGTAAATTTTTGTATTACTATATTTTAGAAAAATTTAGTAGTTATTAATATGTTCTTTCTTTTATTTTTAGTATAAATGAATTAATGCAAGATCGAACTTCAAATATTTCGTTTATAAGAATAGTGTGGATTTAAATTCAAATCTTTTATATCCGATATAATAGATTACGTTTCGAAAGATGATTCAATGGACTCAATAATTTTTTTAAAATGAATTTTAAATTTCATTTTATAATTAGAATTGTGTGATTGAATATTATCGATGAAATTGATAAAGAAATCTTTAAATCTTTAAATCTTAAATTCAAGTCACAAATAACGTACGTTTATCTAATTTCATATCGATTTATTTTATTAAAATGTACGTTAAAAATTATAAAATTATAATTATAATTTTTGTTGTTGGTACATTAACCAAATGTGCATAAAATTTAATTATATTTTTTTAAAAAAAAAATTTCTCCATATTGTTATTGTCTAAAATCTCTTGAGAAATGAATGTTAAAGGTTGCATTTTAACTTATAAAAAGGTTTATGATTCAATTATTTGAATAAATGATAATGATGAACAAGTTTTTCTATGATCAAATCATTGAATTCATATGCAGCCTTGGACCAAAAAAACAATTGAGGAAAGATTAAATCCCATCAATCTTCCTGAGGAGTAGAGGGATAGAGACGGTTCCACATTTCTTTGGTGCAGCAAATTAGTGTTGTTATCCTGACTAATCATCGATAAGTGCAGCTTCCCACTGCTAAGCTTGTGGCCTATAATCTTTCCCCACTAGCTTTACTGCTCCTAAGCTTAGTGCTAATGATGAAGACATTTACCTGGAATAGCATGATTTTCTTGACTTCTCCGAAGATTTAACCAACATTTTCCAATTTTTTCAACTCTTATCTTTCAAAAAATGTTTGAAAGACAACACATGCTCCTTTATTGAGCAGAGATCATTAGTCACGAAACTCGTACTATTAAGAGATAAGATAAATTCTCGATTTATAAGTAAAAGTTTTTTTTATTTAATAGGTATGTTTTATGAGTTTTAAATATAATCTTGTGATATATAAATTTATTTAAATTTTTATTAATATGAAATTTTAAGTTCAAATAAGTTCGGATCGGATCAAAGTGAGTGTGAGGACATTACAGTATAATTGAGTAAAATAAAATATTACAAATTTTACATCCGATGAGATGAATTTTGAATTTCTTTTACGATTCTCTTGGAAAGTCAATATATCTCCTCTTTCACATTAGTATCTATATGCAGTGGTTAGCCTGTTATTTTCCATTGTCTTTAGCTTATTCGGCCTGAAACTCATCCATGTTTGTGGGATTCCATTGGTGCATATAGAGCTTTCTTCTTTAGTTTCTGGTCTTTGATAGCTAATAACTTGCAAGGCAAAAGGCATTTTTAGTCCACTAATCACGGCAGTTGGTCTCCATTTGCATGATTAGATTAAGTGGGATTTATCAAAGTCACAAGTGACCAAAGTCATTGATTTGGGAAGAAAATAGAAGATAAAAAGTCCCCATTAAGTAATTAACCTTGGATTGGAATATATTATAGTTGCCACCAACTAGGCTCCAAATTCAGCTTTATGCCACTTCTCTTTAAGGTTAAACACATGATTTATGATGTGCTTAATATTCCAAGTACCATCCATGCTTCACAATCTTAATATTTGTCAATATCAATTAAACAAAATTACATACTAATCTTGATATTTTAA